ACCCAATCCCCGCACTTCGCAACAGGTCTTTGCCGGATACTTTTCGGCACGAGAGCACGACAAGCCGTTGGAAAAGGTCGTTGGACGCGGCTGGGAAGATGTTGCGCATTGAACATCTTTCTGCTCACCTGGACAATTCGGCGCAGCGAAATGTCTGGGGCTGAAGCGGGGTGTAATCGTCGAGGTGCTCTTGATGCGCGACGCCGGGATGCAATGAGCAGAGAAAGCGAATCCTCACCAGCCACTTGAGCGTGAGGGAAAAACTTTCGTTTGCCAAATACAGCGCTCAGCTGCTACAAATTATGATGGATAAGAGTGCAGGGGTGACTTTTGTGATGGCATTGCAAAAAATAAACAGGAGGCATGACAGCGAGAAAATTTGGAGACGAAAGAGGCCAAAGAGGGGGGGTTTGAAGATTCTTGGTCTGATAGACGCGCGTTCGATCTGGATGTCAAGCAAGACCTTTCCACGCGACCTCGGCACCTTCAGACCCGGCTTGGTCCAGGTGGCTCTTCTTGGCAATTCTGAGCGCTTCCCTCTCCAACCAACCATGTTTCAATCCCAACCTGCTCGTCTCTCTGTCAGGTGGCAGGACGGTAATGACCTGCACGCCCGCCTCTCTCAACATGCGAACGCCTTCGCACTGCACGAAATCTTGCGGTTCTTTGACCCCCATGAACACGCGGGATATCTGATAGCAAGCGCGCGCGCCCTTGCCCGTGCGTTTTGCAGATGATGCAGCACCGCCTCCTCCGGAGCAAGGGGAACGTGAGGTGGAGGCGGATGAAATGGAGGACGTGTTAAATGAGAGTATGCGAGATACGCAGCTGGTGTTGCCAGATCCTCGTACAGAACACGGTTCCATACTAGTGTACAAATCCAACCAAATCGTCTCGCGCTCAAAGGCAGCAGCCATCGACGAATCTCGCAAAAGCAGCAGCAACTTTTGCAAGGCGCATTCTTCGGCGTGCGTGTTGCCTGGAAGTTCGCGGGAGTAGCCCGTCGCTAGAATTTGCTCTCCTTGCGCACAAGACGCGCGCGAAGGACTGATGACGCATCCTACGCAAAAAGCCGTCTGGTTGGCAACGCAAAGATCCGCTAACGCTAGCGTTTTCAGCAAACGTCTGTAATGAATCTCGTCTTGCTCCGACGTCCATGCTTCCCCACCTTCATCATCCTTGTTGGAAAAGGTACGTTGCTCGAGAAGCGGCAGATCGCTCAAACGTTGATCGATGGGCGAATCCGCGAGCGCATCGTCTTGCCTCCACTCGGTTCGCCTTTCCAACCATTCGTCCCGCCATCGACCGTACTCTTGCTCGATGCCTCCGTCCAGCCATACAGTCCACGAATCCCTGATTCGAAAAGCTACCGCGATGGGATGGTCGAGGATCAATTGACGTAGCGGAGGAGCGGGATGAAGCTCGGGTAAGAAGGAAGAGAGGGAAGATCGACGTCTTGCGCGCTTTTGGTCCGGCGAGGTTGTGGATACCTGATTACCAGCATGAGCGACCTCTTGTTCCTTGGCGCTGATCGATTTGCGCTGCCTTTGTCGAAGCGCGACAGGAGAGCCAAGCTTTGTTCTCTCAGCCTCGACCCGCGCAGATGCTCTGCTACTCGGATCACCGGTGGCAGGTGATTGATGAGGCGAGCCTAGAGGGATGGGCAATCTGAGAGGCTTGCGGGGCAGGTACTCTGCTATGTAGTACCATGTGGAGCCGATGGCTATTCCTAGTGAAAGGCCTACCCAGATCTGTGCTGCCGTATGATAGGAAAGATGATATCTGAGAGGGACACGAGACACATTTGGCTGAGCATCTGAGATACGACCCGGCACATTGCCAAAGCGAGCATTGTTAGACGCGTGAGCAAGCGACTCACCGGCTGTATGCGGTGATGGCGGCGCAGCTGGCGATGGCCAACATGGCTACAGCATGCTCGAACCTTCGCATGGTGTTGACAAGCGTCGCAGGTCTGGCAGCTTTGGGATGATGCAGAGCAAAGTGGGCCAAAAAGTAGGCAGCAAAGAAACCGACGAATTGGGCGTGAGAAGAGGGCATGCCGTAGCCTGAGCCTAGGTTACCTGCACCAGCATTGTAGACCAGAGGTGGAGTGAGGACAGAGGCGCGTGATGAGCCATGTCAGCTAGCACATCGTGTGCCTTGCCGGACTCCTTGTTGCGCATGCTGCTCGCAACTTACCAGTAGGTCTAGGCTGCCTGATCAACCTCTTCAAGCCCCAGTTCACCCCCTCGCATCCCAACTGCCCAATAAGCGCATTGATGAATGTCAACTCCCTTCTGTAGAGAATGATGGTGACGTAAGAGCATAGCAAGAATATGGGACTGAGGGTTATCAGAGCTAGCGCTTTGGCAAAGGGATCGTGCTGGTTGTACTGTACGTGCGTTAGACCTAGCACTGAGTAGCTCGAGGGATCGATGGAGGAACCTGGCGCTGACATGATGAGGCGAGAGTATGGTGCGGCTGAAGAGCAATGATGCGACGCGGCAAGAAGGCTTGAGCGCCTCGATCCTAATAGTATCCTTCCTCTCGTCTGCAGGCAATGCGAGGGCTCTTGTGCAGTGCTTGAAGCTACGGTGTGGATCGTCTTTGTTCAGCTGAGCCTTGACACTTTTGGTATTTCAGCACGCTGCTCTGAACCGCATGACGCTTTGTGCCCTTGCAAGGGCGATGAATGGGCGCGTGTCTGCATCTGAGGGGAGTCACGACAGGCCAGGGTTAGTGGTGACAAGGTATGCTCTTTGAGACTTGGACAAGCACCGGCACAAGTTTGTGAATGCGTTTGCCGCCTCTTGAACCTTTTAGCTCGAAGAGTCCCACGATTCGTCCCATGGCGGGCTGTCCGTGCACCGCGCAGCACACGTAGCCTCGAGGCTGCAACATCACTGAAGACTGGATTGTGATTCTTGTTTCATGATTCAGCTTTGACGGCTTTTGTAAGTCCCATTGTAGTTAATTACCACGCACTTGAAGCGCACATTAGCAGTTCCTCCCAACCTGTCAGCATCAGACTTCCAAAATGTTTAATCGCTCGAAAGTGTGAAATTGTTGAGGGCAAGGCGGCAGTGCGAGTCATCCATGCAGCATGCATCATCAGCTGATGTTGCTATGAGCCCATGCATGCATTGAATATTCTGAATCCAAATTTAAATCAGAAT